GACGCTGCCCTAGCTAGCGTGCCCTGGAAGCCATGCTAGCGGGGATTTTGCGTGGCGTGCTGCCACTTGGTTGCTAATGGTCACATAATCTTCCACGAAAATTACACTGCAGTTCACTCGAACCTTCCCCTACTGTGGGGGTCGAGCCAGTGAGAAGCTGTGGTGGGCAGCTTCGTGAGCTTTTCTCTGTAATGTACATGTCTAGCATGAGAGAAACAGGGCCACAGCGCACAGCTCGTTCACGGCAGTCCCCAAAGCGTGGCTCTTCCTGGGAAGCGGCTGCCTCCAGGGGTGGAGCGCGCGCAGCCAGCGCTCCGGACCTATGATCGGCCTGCCAGCGCCCCTCCCGCCACAGCCCACCTCCTGCCCTCCCCGGCACCTGTTCACCTCCTCAAGTTGGCACAAATAAACAAGGGTGCCAGAGGTGTGGCCAACCCAGGTCTTCATTTTGCTGTGGTCTCTGCTCTGCCCACAGCAGGGATTGGTTGTCTCTTCCTCTGAGATTTCAACACAGGCAAACAGTGGGCACAGCGTGCCCACACTCCCTCAGCAAGAGCCAAGGAGGATGACGCTGCTGTGTGCTTGCTCAGAGCATAACCGCTGTTCACAGAGAACACTTCAAAGCAGCCGCCGTCTCCCCAGCCTCCCCTGCTCCGGCTCCTCTCCCTCCCCCCGGGGTGCTGCAGCTTGAGCTTGTGTGAAGTTAAGTCTCCTTGTTTGTCCTCTATCCTGTGCCTAGGAATTTTTATTTCCTGTGTTTGACATGATATTAATAGCAAAGATCAAAGTGGACCTTTGTGAAATGCTCACTGTGGCATAAGATGACAAAAAGGTTGACGTCAGAAAAATGCGCCTTGGCCACAGAGATAGCTCAGTGGACTGAGTGCCTGCAAGGACCCAGGTTCGATCCCCAGTATTGCTTGCCGTGCTGGCCCTGCCCTAAGCACACTGTGCCGACCACCAAGACCAGGTGGGGTGGTGCACACCTGTAATCCCTGTGCTGGGGAGGCCGAGACAGGAAGATCACTATGAGCTGTGTAGTGAGATCCTGTACCAAATACATGCAATTTTTAAAAGAGAAGAAAGATATACCTTCTTCCTCTGACCTCTTATAGCAGAGCTTCTTCTTACATCGTCTTTAACCTCCTCAATATATTATGGGATGGCCACAGTTAATCAAAACTAGAAAGGGCCACATGCATGCCAAAGGCATTGTCACAGTCCTCACACATTGTCCTCCATCACCCTGTTCACAACCAAGGCGAAAGGTCCACTTCTTCAACGGAAAGGTCAATGCATTTCATTCTTTATCACTTTAGAAAATTTCAGGTAATCCGTCTTCAGGGAATTGTCTGTTCATTTCAATGTTGGAGCAACCCTGATCACGTATTTTAATACCATGTAGGTGGCCCTGCTTGGGCTTCCCCAGAATGAATGGAATTGCTAGAAAATCAATGACTTTCTGAATAAGAAGCAGAGAATTAGCCAAGCATTTAGATTTGAGAAGCAAGCCACATCCATTACATTTGTTTAGTAAAAGCCATAAGAGTTCAAATAGTAACACAAAGACAGGAGAGCAGAGAATCGGCAGCAAATGACCCCTCTCCCTGCCTTGCGTGGCAGTTAGCAAAGCGGCTCCAAATCTCCGCGAGGGCAGCGGCCTGAGGGTTGCGATGCTCCAGGCGAGCCTCCCCCCAGGGAGCCTCTTAAGACTGCGGACTGAGCTTGCGACACTGGGGCTTCTGCACTGTTTCCCAAGATCCCCCCGAATTATTCTACATGGCAACATTTGTTTTCTGGTCCTTTTCTGTTTGTGAACCAACTTCAAGTGTCCAGATCTTGCAAGAAAGCCTTGACATCCCGGTATTAGAAATCAGTCCCAGACTCCATCCCCTTCTTATTCTCAGACAGACAACCCACAGGTCGAGAGACACTTCTGAACCACCTAGTGACACTGTCACTCTCAGGAGTAATATTTTAGGGAATGCATTTGGGTAAACTATTATGCAACCGGCCTTGAGCTTGCTGCCCACTTTCTGGTGACTTTGTACCTTGCGCTCAGCAGATTCGCAAACAGTGAGGTCAGAGGACCTTGTTTCTAAAATCAAGAAACTTCTTGGCCTTGCTGGGAAAGATCAGTTGCTCAGGAAGTAATGAAGAAAAGTTACCTTTTCCTGGGAATGCACTGCAGGTGCATGCCTTAAAAAGCATGAGACTATTTATGCTAGTTATTTTCCTACAGTTTTTGAGAGTGTTTCAAAAAATTTGTGTAGGAAAGAAATTGTGAAATTATTTAAAATAGCCAAGAGTAACATTAGCTTAAGAAAAAATGTACACAATAGCATTAACATCAACATATAAACAATGATCACAAAATAGTCAAAATAGGTTTGTAATTGGAGCAGAGATAGATCAGTGGTCTAAGCGCCTGCTTGGCAAGCTCAAAGACCCAAGTTCGGGGGCCTGCCCCTTAGTTCAGTTCTTTAAGTGGCTGCTTCAACAAAGCAGTCAGGCTCAGGTTGCTGTGGTTCGATCCCCACAACTCAAGACAGCCAAACCTGCCCTGAAGGCATTAGGAGTAAAAAAAAAAAAAAAATCCTTATTCCATTTTGACAGCCAGAGAGATAGCTCAGTAGAATAAGTGCCTGCCTTGCAAGCGAAGGGTCCTGAGTTCAATCCCTGGTACCGTAAATAAATAAATAAATAAATAAAGATAATCAAGTATCTATGACTAAATAAATGAACAAAATGAGTTATGTACATATAATATAATATTCAACCATAAAAAAAAGAATGAGTTCTGACCAAAGTTCGATCCCTGATACGACATACCATGCTGGCCCTGTGGCAGGGCAAAACCTTGTACCAAATAAATAAATATGTAATTGGAGAAGCCACCTGAATCAATAATTCACAAAGGAAGAAATACAGAGAGCAAAGAACCACAGCAAAAATGTTTAGCCTCATCAACAATTACACAACAAACTAAGTAATCAGTTAGGGACTTTTTACACCTATCAAAGAATATTGAAAATTCCTGAAAAATGAGAAGGCTGAGTAGTTTGAAGAAAGGTAGGAATAGATGTGCACAGAATTTCTGGAGGAAAATGGGGACATACGTAAAAGAACCCTTAAAAGGTAAATATATTTCAGACCTCAGACATTTATCCTGGGGAGCACTGGGAGGTCAGTTAGGCAGGAAGAGGTGAATGTGTGTGTGTGTGTGTGTGTGTGTGTGTGTGTGTGTGTGTGGAGAGAGACAGACAGACAGACAGACAGACAGACAGACAGACAGAAACAGAGACTGAGACTGAGACTGAGAGTCTGTGTATGTATATATGATGAATGATGCTAGCTTATTCAGTGGCAAAAATACAAAACAACACATATGCCCGTCACTAGGACATCTGTGAAGTAATTCAGACAGAGCCAGACAATGGGCCATCAAGCAACCATTAAGAAATGGTTTGACTGAGTGAAGGGTAGCTCGTGCCAAGTTGGGCACGTCCTGCACGTGTTTGCATTCTGTACACCTAGCTCAATCTAGTACACGCGATTTGAGACTCTCCTGGGAGATAGGAGGGTTTGATTGGTTTCTCCACCTTTCCCCAGGGTTCCTGAACTCCCCCTCTCTTGGGCACAGGATGAATCACCTGAGGCGTGGTTAAAGCTGAGGTTGCTATGAAGCATGATGGGCCTTTTCCCATTGCTTTACCCACAGATTTTTCTTAGGTTTCTGGGTAATCTTGGTCCCTTCATAAAAGAGCTCTCCGTACCCTCTGTGTCCTTACCCCACGTAGGTCCCGCTTCCTTACTTCCCGATGTGTGTGGCTGTGGCTGTCAGCTCTCCAAAGCCCATTCCCCGTGTGGAAGTCAGGCTAATCCATTTGAGGCTGGGCGATCACCGCATTTCTCTGCTCTAAACCTTATGAAAATCCCAATTTCCTTCAAAATAAAATTCCCACTCTGAGATAACCTGTGTGCCTGGCCTGCTCCGGTATGATGACTCTGATTGCACCCATGGCTTCCTCCCCTACCGCTCTGCTCTGGTCATGCTGGCCACACAGTGTCCCCTCCACCCTCTCTGAGGTCGTCTGTGTCACTCCTGACGAACATGGAATTACAGTGTCATCCCACCTCAGGACCTTGCGTCTCCTTAGCCACCTCAGAACTGCGTGACCCCTTTGCCCTGGGCACCTCTGTGTTCCTTCATCATTACGAAAGAATGCACATGTGACTTGTCTGTGTGTTTGTTCCTTGTGCTCCTCAGTTTGCACATCAAGTTTATAGACCAAAGAGCATTTTTGTCTTTTTGTTCACTTCCAGGCCCCAAGCAACTTGAAAGCCAATTGGCCCCTGCTGGGTCTTCTGTGGTTGGATAACTAGCGTGAAAAGTGACTAATAAACATATGAATAGTAGTCGTAGTGCTTTTGCTGAGCGCTGCCCAGGTGGCCAACACCTCCATCAGTGTCCCTGGGGAAGTCATGAAGACACCCAGTTTCAGAAGGGGACACCAAGGTTCAGAAACCCAGGAGTAGATGAAGCCCAACAGCCAATGTTACTCAAAAGCTAGGAGTGAAGCCAGTAAGTCTGAGTGCTGAGGACTATCTTCAAGTGAAAAAATGTTGCTTCTATATTACTTATATATTGACATCGTGTTGGATTTAATTTGGAAAAGAGCTTTTCTGATATCAGTGTTCTCCGAAACTACTCTCCTGGATATTTGAACTAAATCCAAGTTTTGTTGTGGTAGTTCTAGCCTGTTGGCAGATTTCCATGGGTTATTATTTTGAAATCTGAATTATTCCACCTTTGACCAGTTGATCCTTGGCTTTGCTAAATGTAAAATAAGCACTTTTAGAAAATTTCGGGAGCTTCTTCTACTCTATTGGAGAATAAAATTCTGCCCTTGGATTGTCCAAGTTCTTGTGCTTGTGGTTTTCTCTGCCTTTGTGTCTTCAGCCTATCTCAACCTATGGCCTGTGCTTCTCTGTCCCAGGAAAATGACATCAACCTGACGCACATCGAATCCAGACCGTCTCGCGTAAACAAAGATGAGTACGAGTTCTTCACTCACCTGGACAAGCGCAGTGTGCCCGCCTTGGCCAGCATTATCCAGATCCTGAGGCATGACATTGGTGCCACCGTCCATGAGCTCTCTCGTGATAAGAAGAAGGATACTGGTAAGAAGGAGTGGCATCCTGGAACGTGGGTGCCTGACACTGTCTTTGTAAAGCATGACATTGGTGACATGAACCCTGGACTATTGCTCGAAGATGAAGAGGGAAGATGTAGGTCAGGGACCTAGACAAGACCTCAGGGTGTTGTGTCTGTCATAGGCGTAGTAAATTAGTGCTTTTTCCGCTTCCTCCAGAGAGGTGTTTCTTATCTTAGCAGTTTTATTCTGTTGTTGAAATGCCTAGGTATCCTTTGAGGCCTGTGTTAGCATCTTGTAAATCTTCTATGTCCAGAGGGGTGATGTCCAAGTGCTTTCTCCTTAGCTGCCAATTCAGGGAAGCTGCCTAGTTATCTCCATTCCAAGCCCAGGGCTGGCCACAAGCATTTCTTGTCCGGTGCCAGGGCTGTAGCCAGACCACCTGGTTCCTTGACCTGAGACTTCCATCGCCACGATCTCTGTAGCTGCCTCTTCCACTGAACTGCAGGCTTCCTGTGCGTGGGGGGCTGCTCATGTATCCCTATAGCCTCAGAGTTCAGCATGGTCTCGGTACACAGCAACTATCTGTGGGTGAAGGACTAAACGTAGGCGTTGTCAAGACTGGCAGTGTTTGGTTACTACAGCGCTGCCTGCTGCTGTCCGTATGGAGGGGAGGACTCGTAAGCCTGGCCTTGCGTTGCACAGACGTGGGTTCAGGTCCTCCTTCCACTGCTTAGTGCCTCGCAGTCCCCAGCTGAGCCCCTTAATTGAGTTAGTCCCAGAGCTTTTGTGAGGATTAACTGAGGCCTCATATAAACGGCCCTTGCAGCAGCACCTGGCCTGTCCCACAGCTGCCTGAAGGACAGTATGGCGTTCTTACAGTTAGGATCAGCCCCAAGAGGCTAGAGAGAAACAGGCGACTGCTTTTAAGGCCCAGAGCATGTTCAGGTGGACAAGGTTGAGTAGACTATTTTTAGAACAGCATTAGCTCTCAGGAAATTTGCCCAGAAAGTGCAGAGAAACCCTGTATCCTTTTCTCTTCAGCAGTCATTTTTCCTAGTAACAACTTCAGTGAGTGCCAAGCACTTTTATAGGTGGTGAGCCAACATTGAATGACATAAGCTTGTGATGCACCTGTAGGGTCATGCTTTGTGCCATACGTGGTCCCTGTAGGTGCATCACAGGTTTATTTAGGGTGCATGAGGTCACACGTCTGCATCACAGCCTCTGAGGGTGTTTTCATTATCTCTAAGTATCCTGCCGCCTACTCAGTTATCCCACCTTTGGGCAACTGTTGAGTTTTTACTGTATTTGTAGTTTCTCCTCTTCCAGAAAGTCATGAAGTTGGAATTACACTGCATGCGATCTCAGCGTAGGCACTCGTATGTAGTATACAAGTCTACAGCTCTAAGACTGGCTCCTTTCGCTTAGCGACACACACATCCTCCCTCTCCCTGGTAGCTCATGTCTTTCTGTTGCTGGGTAGTATCCCATAGTACGGACTTCAGTACAGTCCTCCACCTATCTGAGGAGCATCTTGGTTCCTTCTAACTTGGGCTCTCTATGAAGGAAACTACCCTAAACTTTCATGGCTAGGTTCTGGTGTGGACATAAGCTCACTGGGATAAATGTCTAAAAGTGTGGTTACTGAGCTTTCTTTTTAATTAAAAGTTTCCCTGCTGTAAAATCAAAACTTTCTGGCCCAAATACTGAAAACCTTAAGTCAAGAGAATTTCAGCCATCGTGGCTGAGTTGGTTAATGGACAGTAAGTCATCGGCTGACATGAGGAGTAAGTCCTGGAGTTCTGTCGCCTAGCAGGGTGATAATGATGTGGTACCGTAGTTTCGAGGCAAGAAAAGTGTTTCACTATTTCCACCACGAGAAAGCGATTGATGCTGAAGAAGACAGAGATGCTTACTTTTATTCGAACACTGCAGAATTTATATGTGTACGGAAACACTGCAGTAGACCCTATGAGCACATGTTTTCTTTCCTCTTGCTTCTTTTCTCTTTCCTTTTCCTTTTGTTCTTTTCATTCATTCACTACTTTATGCATTCTTTCTTTCCTCTTTGGAAAACCAGGACCTTGAGCATGCTAAGAATATGTCTAGCACTCACATACCAGTTTACAAAATAATCTAAAAATGGCATTTTAATAGAAATGTTTTAAGATGATCCAAACCCACTTTGTAGCACAGAGCACTGAGATATCTCCTGGAAAGCCTCCCTGGGAAACCACTTCTGCCCTGGCTGTCCTGAGGGCTGACTCCCACTGGAACCTGCAGCATGCTTTGACCCAGAGACAGCGTAGTTGCAGATGGGCACAGGTCACAGGATTTCCCTTCTCCCTTTAGCCTCCCCAGTGGCCTCCTTGATGATCACCCTCTCTTCTTTTTCCGGCCACCTGCTCCCCACGGGACCTGCAGGGTCTCCAGACAAAGGGCTGCCAGATCCTGGGGCAACTCTGCCTCTGGTTGGAGCAGGTGGAGGCTGGGCCAGCTGGGGCTCTGGGGTCAGAAATCAAAGCAATTGACAGGCAGGCAGGCGCCCCTGGAGCCAGGAAGATGTACGTGGGACCAGCTGGAGGGCTGCAGCCTGGACTGGACACTTGGAAGGAGGAGCTTCATGGGGATGTGGCAGGATAGTTAGGGGCCAGGCTCCAGGGCCAAGGTGTGCCATGCTTAGGGTGATGGGGAGAGGATTCTTCATCCACTGTTTGCAGGGAAGTGAGCATCATGCTGGCCCTGCGGGTTCACGAACTCACACTGTGGGCCCCTGGGAACATGCACTTAGGGGGTCAGGAGATGTCTGCTGTCCTTGTCACCACCTTCGCTGTCGCTGCAAATAATCAGAGGACTGTGGGGGTCACAGAAGCCAGGCTGGACACAGTGCTTCTTCAGCGACTGCCAGTACTGGAACTGACTCAGGGATCGCAGAGCCTGAGCACCTCCGCCAGCCTTCAGTGTAAGAACAGAGGCTGTGACGTGTGCCTCGGGGCATAGAGCGAATTCCTCCTCCTGTCCCTAAGGGGACGTGACACCCAGGGCTACGCAGGACACAGGGCCGATGCACTTGGCTCCTTCTCCACAGGGCACCATGAGCGCCCAGCGCTGTGAAAGCACATGGGGGCTCCTGTTTTCAGAGAGCCTTGGGGTGGGAGGCACACACGCAAAGCACCCTCTGCTCCTCACTCACTGTGCAGCAGATAGGGCCTGGAGCCAGAGCTGGGGGCAAAGAACATGTCACCTGGTGAAGGCAAAGCCCGCTAAGACCAAGCCTTCAAGGCACATGCACTTTCTGCCACTTGCTTTTAGAATGCCAGGCCAACCATCCCATAATAGCTGTCCCCACCCAACCGACCTTAACCTGCTGCTGCTGGCCCCGAGGTGGGGAGCCCCATGGGTGTAAGTGTTTTGTGAGCCGGCTTTGGGCTCAAAACAGAGCTTTATATGGGAAACATCCGCCCATTTGCGCAGTCCCTCTTTCTGCAGGCTGAGGGGGAAGACGGTGACAGGAAGAACAGCTGGAGTAGGGCAGAACTTTTGAATCTTTCTCCAAACAAAATGGCCTTTTTAATGAAGGGCTCAGATCTTAGGGAGGCTGACAGCAGGTTCGAGCAGGAGACATGAACCCCTCAAATCAATTACACTAAACCACTTTTCACTCTAGATTTCAGACCATTCAAAAAGCCATGTGGGTGACAGAAAATGAAAGTTTTTCAGTTGCTTAATTGCTAAAGTTCCCCACCCAAAACAGCTTAAAGGAAGGTTAATTATGGTGACATGTTAAAGAAACCCCAACCTTCTCAATTGCCTCCTGGAGAAGCTGGTGGGAGTTTAATAGGATTTTAATCCAGAGAGGCTTTTGAATCCTTGAAATCTCTTCTCCAGCTCCCCCCTCTCTTGGGGACCTCAAATCCTTCTTCAACCCAACATGAAAGAGCATTAATATTGGCCATCGATCGATCTGCTAATCCTTTTACCTTTCCCTTTGAGTCTTCTGCATGACATTGCATTTCAGGGGGCAGCAAATGCCTACACGGAGACAGGCTGCAGCCAAGGGAGGCAGCCCGAGGGAACGTCTGCGCGACATGAGGTCTGGGGCGTCACTTGTTGAGGAATGTATCTCTGCGAGGTTATTTTACAAGGCCAGAAGGGAGCCTTAGTACATTTGTTCACATTGTGGTTCAAATCTGAGAGTCCTGCTACAGAGGCAAAGTGAGTCCAGGTTTCTGGTACAACTGTATTCTATGCAGAGAGAGGGGCTTCCTGGATGTCTATTTATCATTTGTCCTGTCCATCCATTCATCCATTCATCTATTCATGCGTCTGTCTGTCTGTCTGTCTGTCTGTCTGTCTGTCTGTCTGTCTGTCTATCTATCTATCTATCTATCTATCTATCTATCTATCTATCTGCCTGCTTATGTATGCATACAGGAATGTGTCTATCTATTCTCTGTATAGCTTGTCTGTCCATCCATCCATCCATCTGTCCATCCATCTGTCCATCGGTCCATCTGTCTGTCCATCCCTCTGTCTGTCTATGCATCTATCTGCCTGCTTCTGTCTGTCCGTCCATCCATGCATCCACACATGCACCCATCTTGCAAGCACTGATTATTATTGATGGGATGACAAAGCAACGAGCTCGTACCGCCTCCTCTCTGCACACCTCTCCCCCCCACCCCTCAAGTTTTCTCTTTTCTGCTTTAATATTGCCTTCCTGAACACCTGTGCTGTGAAAGATGGACTTTTCAGGTCACTTTGGATTGGGGAAGGGAAGAATAGCTTCCTGGAAGGGTTCTGAGACTCCCCTGAGATTGTGGGCAAAACGCACACATGTGTGGGCCAGAATAGGCTCACAGAGAGACTTTTCTCCCACAAGGCCGCAGGCCTTTCGAAAGGAAGCTGCTTAGGGCTGGAGGGCAGGATCGGGGGCTCTACCCCTCCTCTCCTATGCTTTGCTTTGCCCACACAGGGTCAGGGCAGAGCTGCATGTGGACTGAGGTCAGCAGGAGACCACTATCT